TCGGATTCCTATGGCTCTGAACTTTTATCAATTTTGTGTACTGGGATTTCACATTTTACAGCTAACTTTTCTAATGAGACAAAGAGGTATTCAAAGACCCAAAGCATGTTTTACATTTTTTGTATTTCTACTTTTGCCATACCACTCTCACATGTACCCGGTGCTTAGTACTATACTATTCCATGCACATTCCTAATGTTTACTGATAATTTAGGAAATAAATTCAGATTATGCCACTGTTATGTTATAGTCCTCCAGTAATGTAAAATTTTCATAATTTTAAAAGTTTGCCAGGTAGAAAAATTTAGAATAGTCAAAAGAGAATTAAGGGGGAAAGTCTAAGAAAAACATAAATGTCAGTGGAGTATGCTGATGGAAAAAATCAACATAAACTTCATAATTTACAATGTCTGGATAAAAAACCTACCATATAGATACTTAAGAAAAATATTATAGTATGGGCAACTCACAGTGGTCTTAAAGGAGAACCTATTTTGCATTTATGTTTGAATTTCAATAGAACTGCTCTGAATTGCTACTTTATTGATAAGTGAAAACAAATTTTTTTATGACTTAAGCTATAAAAACTTATAGTTTATCAGTTCCCTCTCCACCCTGCAATTACCTACAGGAAGAGATTGGCCATAGGTTCTATTTTATGAGTTTTATAGGGATACGTTCACCCCAATTTACATACTATGAATTCCTGGAAAATTCGACAGATTGGAGAAAATAAAGTGCTTCCTTTGGATCAAAGACATTTCATTTGAACTCATGCATTTATCCATAAACAAGCTGCCCCAAATATTATGTTAAAATGTGAAAGATGTATTTTGCATACATACATGCATAAAGTATTTATACTAATGTGTAATAATGCAATATCCAGCAATCTTATGAACCTACAGAGTAGGCTAAACAGTAACAACTTAACAACTCAAAATGTGGTAGAATAGATACATATATCATAAATTCAAGGGTCTCAGAATAAAGTTAAATTTGTAGAATTCAGATAAATACACTTATGAATAACATTAGTGTTAAGGGCAAGCAACATCACAAACATCTCAGATACCTTTTCAAAGCAATAAAACACATGAAAGTTTATTACTGATGAAAAATTATGTGATAAAAATTTATCAAACCCTTGGAAAACCCAGAAGAAGTGTAATTGCAGAATGAATGAATTAACAGTTTGGTCTTACAATGAGAAAGAATAATAAATCAACATTTAAATTCCCAATGCAGCTAGGCTATTTTAATTCCTAATAATTAATGCAATACTTAGATGAATGGCAACAGTGTTCCAAGAGATAGCCTGGATTTTGTTTTAGCCTGTTGTGTAGATGTGTAGGCTTCTGTGAAAATGCAAGCTGTAGTTTTATAAACTGTCAAAAAGTCCATTTGTTAGAAGAAAAACCGTTCTCATTAATGGGGGCTGTGGAATCAATGAATAAAATAAGAAGAAAGGGGTAATATTAATTAGTGTTACAGGCTTGGAATCAAAGAAGCTTTACAAACATCAGTGACTGATTACAACAAGCCACGTTGATGCTATTTAAATTTTATCTTATTTGTTTTCACTGGAGGATATTCAAAAACAATTCTCCTCAAATCACAAATAATTCTTTATATATTCATCATGGCTTACCATGGTTTAATTCCACCACACAGTATGAAAAGCTGTGGGAACTGATGTGCATATGGTTGAACATTAAAGGACAGGTATGTTTTAACTATATTCCTCATGTAATCATCTCAAATAAGAAAAAATCAAACATGAGGGAAGACTTCCTTATGATAGTTACTATTTCTCCTTGATTTGGAAATAAGTCCTTCATTTAAGGTAAATATGGGACTCAAGCCTGTATCGACTTAACTATTAACTAACTTTTACACCACCTTTCAGGGTTCAGACAATGACCTCTGATTAATCTGAGTCTGATATTATCCTTAATTTGCTGTAGGCTCTAAGCAGGTGCAGCAACTAGTTCTTAAAGTGGAATGCTCTAATTAATTTCATATAATCTAATATTATGATTGTCTAATGTTTCATTTGCTTTTCCTATAATATTAAAATGTCCGAGTGAATATAGTAATATTCAGGACAAGTCAGTAAAAAGAAGCCATACATTTAACCATCATATCAGAACTAGGACATTAAGTATAAAGAAAATAAAAGAAAATCTGTAATACATGAGCAGGCAAAACAGGCCGCCTATACCAAAGAAGAACTGTCCAGTGTCTCTCCTGAAATACTAAACGCTGGAAGGCAAAAGATGATCAATTTCTGCAGTGCTCTCAGGGAAAAAGGCTATGTTCAAATAATTCAAAATCCTCGCAAGCTGTCTTGTGCAAAGACAACTAAGAGGTATTTTAAAATATGTAGACTCAGATAATATATCTCTTTCAATTTATATTTCTTGAAAATATAACTTGAAAACATACTCTTAGATATAAACTAAATTAAGAGCTCGGAATGCAAAAAAAATGAGTAGTGATTATAGCTAGTAAATAAGCAAAGTCTGCTTGGTTTTGGTGGCAGGGGTTAATGTCATGTGGAGATACGTGTTTTACTTTCTATCGAAGGCATCTCAAAAACAGATATGGTATTATTTATGCCAGAAAGAAAAAAATTCCAACAAAAATATTAAAGTTCATTTAATAAATGAAAAGAAACCAGTAAACTAAAAGTAAACTAAAAAGAGAGTGAGAGGGAACACAGAACAAGGGTACAGAGGTGGCTCTGTCTCAGGATAACTTATATTTTCTTAAAGAACACTACATCACATTACAGTCCTCTGTAACCATATATTCACTGACAAGTTCATTCCAATTTGGAATGTTGAGACATGCATCTTTCCCTGCTATGGAGGCTTGAGAAAGTCTCATTTCCCTCACTGCACGAGTCGTAGCTAGCATCTCACACTCTCCTAGACCCAAGCCATTTGTGTGGTCCTGGAACAAGCGGGACGTGGGAGTGGTAACGTGCAGGCAATAAGTTGGAAAACGCTGGTTAGGTGTGAGGTCAAGAAGTCACTCAGGGCCCCAGCCTCAGCCATTCTGAAATCCTAGCACATTCCCTTTCTATTTTTTTCTCAGACCCCAGGAATATCTCTCCTTTTTGGGACAATATAATACACAGTTTGTACTTATAAATATCCTCCCTTAAATTTTTAGACAGACTTTTTCCTCTTTTTTCTATCTCTAAATATATTCTTCTCTTAATCCTTTTAAGGAAAATAAGAGCATATATTGTGCAAAGGATGGAAATCAGGTACAATTATATTTCTGTGAAAATCAGACTTTACCTTCCAGGACATTGGGTTATGAACATACTTGTGATCCTACTTAGAGGTTATAAAAAAAGGACCAAAGTTAACTGTCAGTAAGCAGGGGGGCTGTGAGGCAGAGGGGTAGTAGAATATGCTCAGTTAGTAGTGAAGAGAGGAGAAGAGCTTTAAAAATGCAAAAAGGAAGCTTGGCTCAAGTCAAAACCTGGAGGACTGAGTGTGTGGGGTGCCTGTATAAACCAAGTATGTTATAACTTACTGACTGCTGAGAGTAGAAATGTTATTAATATAATAGGAACTGCCATTTAATAATCCAACTAGGAAAACATAATCAAAAGACCAACAGTACCTAAACTACCACTATTAGATATTGTTCTTAATTCACTACTGAAAAAGTTAATACTATTATTTTTCATGAATTAGTGAGGATTCAGTTCTATTATTTTCTCATTTAATTAACACGGCAATCTATAATCAGCCTGCAGGGTAAGACAAAACACTCTCCCAGGCTGTACTTTTCTGAGTTCCCAAATGTACAAAAAACTCCCCAGAAATGTAAACACTGGTGCCACAGGAATGCCTAAAGGAATAACATAAATTTCAAAGTATACAAAATAATCCAATGAGTATATGAATCAAATACATTAAACTAATTTGTTTCCCATAATTGCTAATCTTCAATTTTTAAATATTAAAGAATAAAATTTACATAATGTTATGGCTACTCAAGATAATCGGAACACACACTATAGCCAACTATTTTTTTATGATCACACTAATGATTAATTCCTCAAACACTGGTCTTTTCTGGAGTGCCACATAGCAAGTTCATCCAATATGCTGAATTAATCATTTGGATTTATTACGAACAGAAAATGGAGTCAATTTGCTCTGGAGGAAAATATTATCAATAAAATCCAAATATAGTAGAATATTATCTTCATTTTCTTAAAAAAGATATTAGACATTACCAAAGTTTTCTAACAGCAGGAAATGAGGAGCTGCATTGACTTGAAAGGATAAGAAGATTATGCTTTGAGAAGAGGAAGATACACTCTCGTCTATGTCATCTTATAAATCTTTTAAATGGGAACTATGAACTGATATGTAGTTCATATAAATATCATACGCAGAGACAAAATTTAATCATCTTCCTTTAATTTAATCATCTGTCCTATAATTACTTTTAATATAGTAAATGATACTGTAATTGTTAAATGACTTTTGTTGCCTGGTAGTAATATAAGAGGGCTAAAACCAAAGATTTTACTTTGATAATAACAAAGCCTAGTGATGTGTGAGGAAATGGAAGCATAATGGAATTCTTCCACTACTACAAAACATTCACTCTAAATGATGCTAGTGCACAAAATAACACTCATTTTAAAAAGGGTATAAATCAATTTGCAAATAGATTTGCATTACTTTATTAAAAGTATAAAGTATCTTTAAATTAAAAAATATTCTATTTATAACATTAATATAAACAAATACCTGTAAAAATGATATAGATCTTATTTTCCTATATCTTGGCAAAAAAATTAGTAAATTTTCTTCATTAATTAGAAAGCATGAAGTTCATTTTCCTGAAGGGATATGACTTCTGACAAAAGAGAGGTAGTAAGTTTTCTACAATGGCATTATTATAACCAGTATCACTTTGTAGCTTCTTAACAGTTTTAACAATGCAGAAACAGGGTGCCTTACCATTGGTACTGTATCTACATGATGGTTACAAGGCATTCTTTCTATGCTGACAATTCCTGTGAAAAGAAAAGACTGTGAATATTTGCTGATTATACCTATCCATTTTATTTTGAAGACATTTATGTCAGTAAGATACAACTCCTACAGCTTACAAGAAAAAAGCCTCACTTCTATGGCAGGATACTTTAAAGTTGTTTCATAAATTCTATGGTCAGAAACAGTTGGAGAGTTTAGCTAAGAGACTTGACTCAAGGTGAGCTAAGCCAATTTTCCCATTCCAGTGCCCTTTAGCAATAGTGCAAGATGTGTTCATATTCTGGTCTAGGCTCAAAAATTACATCCCCGCTCCGTTGCATTTCTTCCTTGAAAGTTTTGTTTCTGACTTGAGGTCATCAGGTTTTCAAAAAGAACTATCACAAGGCTAGAAGGGAATACTTCCTTATTTTTTTCAAAAAGAATAAATAAATAAATCTATTTGAATTTCTCTGATCTAACGTCCTACTATGACATATTGTGCTACTCAGTCACCATGGAATATACGAAAAATTAAAATTCCTTTTGAGTCTCTCCTTTAAAATGATAAGATTCACTGACGAACCTGAGAAAAGCCCTTTTATCATGTGTGGATGTATCTTTTTATTCCCAATGTTCTTTACTGCATTTCTTTGTAATAAACAGCTTCTAAGGATAAAACACATTGCGTCTCATCTGTAAAGATACTGCTTCAAAGTCAAGCTCAAGTTAAAAATGAACACAGGTGTGGGTCTCGTTTATTTTATAATCTCTATCCATCAGCAAACTAATGAGTTAGGATCTTAAAATAGTTTGTTCAAATAATTCTAAAGGCTGTCACATGCAGGGCTGGTCAGAAGGGAGAACTGCAATGTACTTACTGTTAGTATCAATTAGCAAAATTCCTTGTTGAAACAAAACACTAGATTTTCTCATTTACAGGCATTTAACTAATTTTTCATAAAGTATGATTGAGAGCAATACAGAATAATAAATTTTTATCACTATGCAAGAGCATATTCAAAATAAACAAAGTATCATAAAACATGATTTTTAAAAAAAGTTTGTTTCATTTAAAAACTTCTTTCAACATCTACTGTTAGCCAGTGAAGTATAAAGGCCAATACTACCTTTATCCAATCAAGTAATATTTATTGAGTGGCTATGGGCACTCAGTAATAAAAGTTACATTATAAAGGGTAAATTATGATTTCTGACATCAAGAGTCTAGAAAAAAAAAGATATCTCTTTTTGAAGAAATATCACTGAGAAAGTTAACAATTTTGTCTTAAGTGTAATAACAGTCTTTAAGATGCTTTTGATGAACAGACACATTTCTAGTCATACAATTCATACACTGGCCTTGAATTTAAAAAAAAATTAAAAATCTGAGTAAAATATATTGTAAAATATTCAAATAATGCCAGTTCTTAACACAAGATTTTAATAATTCTTTAGTATATAGAACAAATGGTGAAATTCCCACTTGCCCAGTGCTACATCTCTCTCTAGCTGCAACCACTGAGAACAGTCTGGTGTCACACGCTGGCTTTTAAATGAAAGTGGTCATACTAAGCAGTTCATTCAGGAATTAGCAACATCTTACATGTGTGTTCTCATTATTGTAATCTGCTATACAATTGACCTAGGCTGACTACTGATTTTAAAATTCTTATCTAATTACAAAGTAACTTCAAAATTATGGGGAAAAACAAACAAAAAAACCTCAAAATCTATATCTTCAGTTTATAAAATCAGAAAGAAAAAACTACGTAATTTACAGTTTCAATTTTGGGATGTATTAAAAATAGTTTTTTTAAAAGTGGATTATCCAAAAATATAATCTTAGTTTTAAATTTAGATTGCCTGTTGAAATAATATCATTTGGAAATATAATCATACTTGTTTATTCTAACTTTTAGCAAAGAATATACAGAAAGGTATAAGTTTAAGTAAAAATATCCCAAATAGCACCCTGTTTCATGTAAATTTTACCTAAAGAATCTATATTTATACTTTATTTCACTTTTACTAAAGTGAAAGCTCATAATAAGTAGCCTGCTGTTGTGGCTATTTCTGTGTGCCAACTTGGCTAGGCACAGTAGTACCCAGATATATGGTCAAACCTCCAGATATTAATGTGAAGGTATTTTGTGATGGTATTAACATTTAAATCAGAAGATTTTGAATAAAGTAGATTGTGCTCCATAATTTGGGGGGGTCTCATCCAAACAGCTGAAGGCCTTAAGAAACAATGACCTGAACAAACACTTCGAAAATTTATATGGAACCAAAAAACACCCCGAATAGCCACAACAATCTTGAGAAAGAACAACAAAGTTGGAGGGATCACAATACCAGATATCAAGTTATACTACAAAGCCACTGTAATCAAAACAGCCTGGTACTGGAACGAGAAAAGACATATAAGTCAGTGGAACATAACTGAGAACCCAGAAACTGACCCATGCCATTATGGTCAATTAATACTTAACTGAGGAGGAAAGAACATACAATGGAGTAAAGACAGTCTCTTCAATAAATGGTGCTGGAAAAATTGGACAGGTACATACAAAAAAATGAAACTAGATCACCACCTTACACCATACACAAAAGTAAACTCAAAATGGATAAAAGACTTAAATGTAAGACATGAAACCATAAAAATCCTAGAGGAAAACATAGGCAGCAAAATCTCAGACATCTCTCATAGCAATATGTTTGCTGATACATCTCTTAGGGCAAGAAAAACTGAGAAGAAAAGAAACAAATGGGCCTGCATCAAAATAAAAAGCTTCTGCACAGCAAAGGAAACCATCAACAAAACGAAAAGGGAGCCCACTGTATGGGAGAACATATTTGCCAAAGACATATCTGATAAAGGGTTAACATCCAAAATATATAAGGAACTCATACAACTTAACAAAAGGAAGACAAACAATCCAATTAAAAAATGGGCAAAGGACCTAAATAGACACTTCTCCAAAGAGGACATACAAATGGCTAAGAGACACATGAGAAAATGCTCAACATCACTAATCATCAGAGAGATGCAAATTAAAACCACAATGTGGTATCACCTCACACCTGTCGGAATGGCTGCCATCGACAAGTCAACAAACGACAAGTGCTGGCGAGGGTGTGGAGAAAGGGGAACACTGCTGGTGGGAATGCAGACTGGTGCAGCCACTATGGAAAGCAGTATGGAGTTTCCTCAAAAGATTAAAAATTGACCTGCCATTTGACCCAGTGATCCCACTTCTAGGAATATACCCTAAGAATCCTGAAACACTAATCAGAAAGAACTTACGCGCCCCTATGTTCATAGCAGCGCAGTTTACAATAGCTAAGATCTGGAAACAGCCCACGTGCCCATCAGCAGCTGAGTGGATAGAAAAGCTGTGGCACATTCAACCATGGAATACTATGCAGCTGCAAAGAGGAAGGATCTTTTATCCTTTGGCACAGCATGGAGGGAACTAGAAAGTATTATGCTAAGTGAAATAAGCCAGTCAGAGAAAGACAAGTACCACATGATCTCACTTATATGTGGAATGTAATAAACAAAATGGGCAAAATGGGTCCAGAGACATAGAAGCATGGAACAGATTGAGGGATCTCAGAGGGAAGGTGGGGAGGGAG